TTTAATCCTAATTTTTTTGATTTTTCAAGTTTTAACTTTACAATTTTGGAATTTTTTGATTTTTAATTTTTGAAGTTCTGAAGTTAAAATTGTTCCTTTTCACGCTTTGTCATTTTTCAGGTTTGAGCAAAATTACCAAACAAATGTAGTTTTGAACCAAGATAAATTCTTACTTTTGGGGCCGATTTATGTAGTTTATTTTTTTCCGTATATAAGCTCGGTTTTTTCAGTTATTGTAAAACAGACGAGGAAAAAACGTGGAGATCCGTGATTCTGAGGAAGTTTCACACAAGAATGATTCGATTTAAAGCCGATTTGATAAAGTTTAACTTTTTTATATAAAAATGGTGGAGGCGCCGGGATAACAATTTAACAAATAGATTGTTTCAATAATGTTAAGGAATTTCAACGTGATATCGCGAATTTTAATAGAAATTATAGCCTTCTGTGAAAATCCTGAAATTAGAACGAAATTGTAAAACAATTGTAAATTTAAACCTAGATAATTTCAAAAATTCGAATTTCACACCGAATTTTCCGAAAGTATTGTTCTGTTACCATAAACATGCTATGTTTTGGGAATCAGCACGTCGGGATATATATCTCTGAATTTTTTCAGAATTTTTAGACAACTTTTTCAAAAATGAAATTTTGCACTGTGGTAGTACTTGCCAAATAACCTACCTCTAAGAAAATAAAAGGCAGGGGGCCAGTCTAGTATTTGCCAGAATAAGACTCATTTTGACAAATCACCTACAATCTAAGAAAAGGCATTGATCCCGCCCACCCACCCTTTAATTTTTTGGAAGAGTAGGTCATCTGCCAAAATCAATCTTTTCCTGGCAAGTATCAGACTGATTTTTGCAAATGACATATCCTCTAAGAAAATAAGGGTGGGTGGGCGGGGCTAGTACCCGTCAAGATAAGACTGATTTTGGCAGATGGGGCTCTTTTAAGAAAATAAATGGTGGGTGGGCGGGACTAATACTTGTCAAGATAAGACAGATTTTGGCAGATGACTTATTCTTCTAAGAAAATAAAGGGTGGGTGGGCGGGGCTAGTACTTGCCAAGGTAAGACTGATTTTGGCAGATGACTTATTCTTCTAAGAAAATAAGGGCTGGGTGGGTGGGGCTAGTACTTGCTAAAATTAAAAAAAATTAAAAATCAAAAAATGACAAATTAAAAATCGGATAAATGGGAAATCGGAAAATTGTACAACTGTTTAATGGGAAAATCAAAAACTGAAATATGGAAAAATTGAAAAAAAAAACAAATCTTATAAAATCGAATTTGAAATTCCAGTTTTCAATTTTTTTTTAGTTTTTAGTTTTTGGATTTTTTAACTTTTGAATGTTTCATTTGATAATTTGTTTGACAATTTTGCTGTTTTTAATCCTAATTTTTTTGATTTTTCAAGTTTTAACTTTACAATTTTGGAATTTTTTGATTTTTAATTTTTGAAGTTCTCAAGTTAAAATTGTTCCTTATCACGCTTTGACATTTTTCAAGTTTGAGCAACATTACCAAACTAATGTAGTTTTGAACCAAGATAAATTAAATTATTATTATTATTATTATAAATTAATCTAGTTTATTTTTTTCGTATATAAGTTCGCTTTTTTCGGTTATCGTAAAACACACGAGGAAAAAACGTGGAGATTCGTCATTCTGAGAAAATTTCACACAAGAATGATTCAATTTAAAGTCGATTTGATAAAGTTTACATTTTTTCATAAAAATGGTGGAGGCGCCGGGATAACAATTAAAAAATGAGATTGTTTCAATAATGTTAAGGAATTTCAACTTGATATCGCGAATTTTAATAGAAATTATAGCCTTCTTTGAAGATCCTGAAGTTAGAACAAAATTTCCAAATAATTGTGGATTTGAACAAAAATAAATTGTTACTTTTGGGGCCGATTTATGTAGTTTATTTTTTTCCGTATATAAGCTCGGTTTTTTCAGTTATTGTAAAACATACGAGGAGAAAACGTGGAGATCCGTGATTCTGAGGAAGTTTCACACAAGAATGATTCGATTTAAAGCCGATTTGATAAAGTTTAACTTTTTTATATAAAAATGGTGGCGGCGCCGGGATAACAATTTAAAAAATAGATTGTTTCAATAATGTTAAGGAATTTCAACGTGATATCGCGAATTTTAATAGAAATTATAGCCTTCTGTGAACATCCTGAAATTAGAACAAAATTGTAAAACAATTGTAAATTTAAACCTAGATAATTTCAAAAATTCGAATTTCACACCGAATTTTCCGAAAATATTGTTTTGTTACCATAAACATGCTATGTTTTGGGAATCAGCACGTCGGGATATATATCTCTGAATTTTTTCAGAATTTTTAGACAACTTTTTCAAAAATGAAATTTTACACTGTGGTAGTACTTGCCAAATAACCTACCTCTAAGAAAATAAAAGGCAGGGGACCAGGCTAGTATTTGCCAGAATAAGATTCATTTTGACAAATCATATACAATCTAAGAAAAGGCATTGGCCCCGCCCACCCACCCTTTATTTTTTTGGAAGAGTAGGTCATCTGCCAAAATCAATCTTTTCCTGGCAAGTATCAGACTGATTTTTGCAAATGACATATCCTCTAAGAAAATAAGGGTGGGTGGGCGGGGCTAGTACTCGTCAAGATAAGACTGATTTTGGCAGATGGGACTCTTCTAAGAAAATAAAGGGTGGGTGGGCGGGGCTAGTACTTGTCAAGATAGGACTGATTTTGGCAGATGATACTTTTTTAAGAAAATAAAGGGTGGGTGGGCGGGGGGCTAGTACTTGCCAAGATAAGACTGATTTTGGCAGATGACTTATTCTTCTAAGAACATAAAGGCTGAGTCGGTGGGGCTAGTACTTGCTGAATAAAAAAACCTTAAAAATCAAAAAATGACAAATTGTACAACTGTTTAATCGGAAAATCAAAAACTGAAATATGGAAAAATTGAAAAAAAACCAAATCTTATAAAATTGAATTCGAAATTCCAGTTTTCATTTTTTATTTACTTTTTAGTTTTTAGATTTACAACTTTTGAATATTTCATTTGATAATTTGTTTGACAATTTTGAAGTTTTTAATTCCAGTCTTTTGATTTTTCAAGTTTTAACTTTACAATTTTGGAATTTTTTTGATTTTTAATTTTTCAAGTTCTCAAGTTAAAATTGTTCCTTTTCACGCTTTGTAATTTTTCAAGTTTGAGCAAAATTACCAAACAAATGTAGTTTTGAGCCAAGATAAATTCTTACTTTTGGGACCGATTTATGTAGTTTATTTTTTCCGTATATAAGCTCGCTTTTTTCGGTTATCGTAAAACATACGACGAAAAAACGTGGAGATTCGTCATTCTGAGAAAATTTCACACAAGAATGATTCGATTTAAAGTCGATTTGATAAAGTTTACATTTTTCATAAAAATTTTGGAGGCGCCGGGATAACAATTTAAAAAATTGATTGTTTCAATAATGGTAAGGAATTTCAACTTGATATCGCGAATTTTAATAGAAATTATAGCCTTTTTTGAAAATTTTTAAAGTAGAACAAAATTTCCAAATAATTTTGGATTTGAACCAAAATAAATTTGTATTTTTGTGACAGATTTATCTAGTTTATTTTTTCCGTATATAAGCTCGCTTTTTTTCGGTTATTGTAAAACATACGAGGAAAAAACGTGAAGGTTCGTCATTCTCAGAAAATTTCACACAAGAATAATTTGATTTAAAGGCGATTTGATAAACTTGATTTTTTTTATATAAAAATGCTGGAGGCGCCGGGTTAACAACTAATTAAAAATTAATTGTTCAATGAATATTAGGGAATTTCAACCTGATAAATTTAAATCTTTAATAGAAAAACTGATGTGATTTTAAAATCTTGAAACTGGAACAAAATTACCACACCATTATAGATTTGAACCAAGATAAATTCTTATTTTGGTGTCCGATTCATCTAGTTTATTTATTTCTTATATAAAATCGAGGAAAATTGTGGATTTTCTTGATTCTCAGGAAATTTCGCATAAAAAATCATTCGATTTAAGACCGATTTGATAAACTTTAATTGTCTAATAAAAAAGGTCGAGGTGCCGGGACAAATATAAAAAAAAAAATAAAATTCGATGCATTTTCTTTTCGATCAGTTACCATGTGTTTATGATCACTTCTTACAGTTCCGGGAGTATGATTTTCACTTCTTTTTTTTCGCTTTGCACACCTGTTCCGGCTATTTTCGACACATCATGTTTTAATCCCTTGATTGATTTTCTCGCTCCCAGTTTAACTTTCCATCTTTAGTTTCCCCAAAATAATTCAATTTAAATCGGCGACTCTCCCCATATTCCCTCCTCAGAGATTTATTGTTCCCTACAAAGCTCAAAGCCGATATTTTTATCCTTCAATCCATTTACTAATTTGCGTCCCTTTCCGTAATTCAGCTCGCGTCGCAAAAGAGCAAAGTTCACTCATCCCGTCGCGGCGACATTAACTCTCACCAATCCCCCGAAATAGAAAAAAATGGAGCCAAAATTCGCTCAAACTTCCGTGACACACGTTAATGCAGGAACAACGCCCCGAACTTCGTCCGCTACGAGCATTTTTCTCAATTTTCGCGGACCAAGGGTTTTGAAGTTTCTTTAAACGTGTTTAAAGTTTGCAGTAAGAAAACTTTCAGATGACGTCCATTAAAGTTTGAGCCACCTCTTCCGCCCAATACATTCCCATTCACCACTTGCACACATTAACCCACTGACCCAATTCCGAGGCGACACCGCGTCAAATTCAATCCTCATCTCCTTTCATATTTTTTTATTTGCTTTAAAGCACCTCCGAAAACATTCCATTCAGGCCGCATCGATCGGGCGGAGGCATTAATTCATCTTTTGATAATCTCGACGGACGGTTTTAATTTTCGCCAGTCAGATTTTCGGGAAGTTTGTAATTATTTGTGGAGTGCGTCCAACAGTTAAAGGCTCCTGTTTCTTCCAGGTCATGGACCAGGTGCTCTCCCTGTGTCGCTCCCGCAGGAAGCCTCTAGTCATCGACGCCGACGGGTTGTACTACGTCTCCCTCAACCCGGACGTCCTCCGCGACTACCCCTCCCCTGTTATCCTCACCCCCAACGTCATGGAATTTGCAAGGCTAATCGGCTCCAATGGGGAAGGGAACAAAAAGGAGCAGTCCCAGAAATTCCTCGCATTAGCGGAAAATATCACCATTTTGTGTAAGGACCACGTGGACGAAATTTTCAACAAAACGTCGCACGTGTCGGTGGCTGGGGGCGGCTCGGGGCGGCGGTGCGGCGGCCAAGGGGACCTGCTTTCGGGGGCCGTGACGGCTTTCCTCGCCTGGGCTTTGGAGGAGCCGACGCGGCTTTCGGGGTGTCCTCCTCACGATCGGCCTGTGATTGCCTCGTATGCGGCCTGTAAGCTGGCGAGGTTGTGTAATCAGAGGGCCTTTGCGAAGTTCGGGAGGAGCATGACGAGCACTGATATGATCAAGGAGATCCATGAGGCTTTTGAGGAGATTTTTGAAGGGAAGTAAAGTTGTTTGATGATAAGGGGAGTTTTATTTACCCTGCTTTTATTAATTGGTTCGTGCGATAAGGGGGTTAATTAAATTTTTTGTGACGGCGGATGGAGCTGAGACATGACAGTGGTTTCAGGTAGGGGTTTCTGAAGTCTGTTAGGGGTTGTTTCGGGGCGATAACTTCTGGTTTCAACAGTGAGCGAATTTTCAGGTGAGTAGATAAAGCTTGTTTTTATGATGGATTTGTTTGTTCGTTATTTGCGACAACGTTTACTAGTTTTAATAGTTTATAGCTGTTCGTGATCGAATTGCATGCAACATTGATTCAGACGGTAATGATTTATTAAATAAATAAAGCTGAACACGGACAGCGGAAATAACTGTTTTTAATAGGGGTATAATATTTTATTTATTTTTTATTCTGGGGGAGTCTGGCGTTGAAAAGTGTCTACAGCTTCCAGCTAAAGATCCCTAGAGAACACGGCAAATTTGCTTCTTTATCTCCAAGGCTCACTCATTATCCACCCAACTAAAGTTTACCGAAGCACATAATGGAGTTCAAACCGGACTAATGTATCTAGTAGTTTTCAAACCCTTAGGCATGCAGCTGTCTACCTTTTAACTAAAACAAAAGAGTTAAAAATTCCATTATTTTTTGCGTCGTTTTGTCTAACTAAACTCAAGAGAAATTAAAAAAGTATCAAAATAATTCGGCGAATCACCATCTTGTCTTAAACTTGTCGTTCAGAAACGGATACTAAAAATAATTTTTATCAGTTTTACCTCCAACTTTTATTCATTATACAGTAAATACATAGCTCAACGCACAAAAACAAGCCTAATTCTTAATCAATAATTGTGATTTATTAATGTCGGACCTTGACACGGCGAGGAAATTTTTCAAATTTGTTTCTAAGTTATAATCCGTTGAAAAATCGTTTGAGTTCGCGGCGCGTTTTTTCACACTGCGTTTTTTATAGTTTTTTTGTTCCATTTTTTAGGAAAACACTTTTAAAAGTTCGCTAAAACACATTTATCTCAATTATTTGAAAATATACGGCGAAAATAATTACAGGATCGTGATTCTGAGAAAATTTCTGAATATTAATTTTTCACAAAAAACGAGATAAAAATGTATTTTAAAAGTATTGATTATACAAATCTGTAGGAACTTTTATTGGAAATTGTGTATATTAAAAGAAATTTTGAGAAAAATGTGGTATTTTTTTCCTTATAAACATATTTTTCTCGGTTATTTCAAAAGATATTGCGAAAAGAAAGACAGATTCGTGATCCTGAGAAAATTTCGCAAAAGAATGATAACAATATGAGCTCATTTCGTCAAGTTTAAATTTTTGATAAAAATGGTGGAGGCGCCGGGATGAAAATTTATTTTAAATGTATTTATTACAAAAATCTGTAGGAACTCCTTTCGGAAATTGTGTATATTAAAATAAATTATGATTTTCTTTCGATATTTTGATATCTGAAATAGATAACGGGACGAACGTCGACTTGAAGGAAAATAAATGACCGGTTTTGAGAAAAATGTGGTATTTTTTTCCTTATAAACATATTTTTCTCGGTTATTTGAAAAGATATTGCGAAAAGAAGGACAGATTCGTTATCCTGAGAAAATTTCGGAAAAGAATGATAACAATATGAGCTCATTTCGTCAAATTTAAATTTTTGATAAAAATGGTTGAGGCGCCGGGATGAAAATTTATTTCAAATTTATTTATTACAAAAGTCTGTAGGAACTCCTTTCGGAAATTATGTATATTAAAATAAATTATGATTTTCTTTCGATATTTTGATATCTGAAATAGATAACGCGACGAACATAGACTTGAAGGAAAATAAATGACCGGTTTTGAGAAAAATGTGGTATTTTTTTCCTTATAAACATATTTTTCTCGGTTATTTGAAAAGATATTGCGAAAAGGACAGATTCGTGATCTTGAGAAAATTTCGGAAAAGAATGATAACAATATGAGCTCATTTCGTCAAGTTTAAATTTTTTGATAAAAATGGTGGAGGCGCCGGGATGAAAATTTATTTTAAATGTATTTATTACAAAAATCTGTAGGAATTCCTTTCTGAAATTGTGTATATTAAAACAAATTATGATTTTCTTTCGAAATTTTGATATCTCAAATAGATAACGGGACGCACATAAACTTGAAGGAAAATAAATGACCGTTTTATAGAAAAATGTGGTATTTTTTTCCTTATAAGTATATTTTTCCTTATAAGTATATTTTTCTCGGTTATTTGAAAATATATTTTGAAAAGAAGGACAGATTCGTGATCCTGAGAAAATTTCGGAAAAGAATGATAACAATATGAGCTCATTTCGTCAAGTTTAAATTTTTGATAAAAATGGTGGAGGCGCTGGATGAAAATTTATTTTAAATTTATTTATTACAAAAATCTGTAGGAACACCTTTCGGAAATTGTGCATATTAAAATAAATTATGATTTTTTTCGATATTTTGATATCTGAAATAGATAACGGGACGAACATAGACTTGAAGGAAAATAAATGACCGGTTATTAGAAAAATGTGGTATATTTTCCTTATAAACATATTATTTTCGGTTATTTGAAAAGATATTGCGAAAAGAAGGACAGATTCGTGATCCTGAGAAAATTTCGGAAAAGAATGATAACAATATGAGCTCATTTCGTCAAGTTTAAATTTTTGAGAAAAATGGTGGAGGCGCCGGGATAAAAATTTATTTTAAAATTATTTATTACAAAAATCCGTAAGAACTCCTTTCGGAAATTGTGTATATTAAAAGAAATTATGATTTTCTTTCGAAATTTTGATATCTCAAATAGATAACGTGACAAACATAGACTTGAAGGAAAATAAATGACCGTTTTTGAGAAAAATGTGGTATTTTTTCCCTTATAAACATATTTTTCTCGGTTATTTGAAAAGATATTGCGAAAAGAAGGACAAATTCGTGATCCTGAGAAAATTTCGGAAAAGAATGATAACAATATGAGCTCATTTAGTCAAGTTTAAATTTTTGACAAAAATGGTGGAGGCGCCGGGATGAAAATTTATTTTAAGTTTATTTATTACAAAAATCTGTAGGAACTCCTTCCGGAAATTGTGTATATTAAAATAAATTATGATTTTCTTTCGATATTTTGATATCAGAAATAGATAACGGGACGAACATAGACTTGAAGGAAAATAAATGACCGGTTTTCAGAAAAATGTGGTATTTTTTTTCTTATGAACATATTTTTCTCGGTTATTTGAAAAGATATTGCGAAAAGAAGGACATATTCGTTTTCCAGAGAAAATTTCGGAAGGGAATGAAAGCAATATGAGCTCATTTCGTCAAGTTTAAAGTTTTGATAAAAGTGGTGGAGGCGCCGGGATGAAAATTTATTTTATATTTATTTATTAAAAAAATCTGTAGGAACACCTTTCGGAAATTGTGCATATTAAAATAAATTATGATTTTCTTTCGAGATTTTTATATCTGAAATAGATAACGGGACGAACGTAGACTTGAAGGAAAATAAATGACCGGTTTTGAGAAAAATGTGGTATTTTTTTCCTTATAAACATATTTTTCTCGGTTATTTGAAAAGATATTGCGAAAAGAAGGACAGATTCGTGATCCTGAAAAAATTTCGGAAAAGAATGATAACAGTATGAGCTCATTTCGGCAAGTTTAAATTTTTGATAAAAATGGTGGAGGTGCCGGGATGAAAATTTATTTCAAATTTATTTATTACAAAAGTCTGTAGGAACTCCTTTCGGAAATTATGTATATTAAAATAAATTATGATTTTCTTTCGATATTTTGATATCTGAAATAGATAACGCGACGAACATAGACTTGAAGGAAAATAAATGACCGGTTTTGAGAAAAATGTGGTATTTTTTTCCTTATAAACATATTTTTCTCGGTTATTTGAAAAGATATTGCGAAAAGGACAGATTCGTGATCTTGAGAAAATTTCGGAAAAGAATGATAACAATATGAGCTCATTTCGTCAAGTTTAAATTTTTTGATAAAAATGGTGGAGGCGCCGGGATGAAAATTTATTTTAAATGTATTTATTACAAAAATCTGTAGGAACTCCTTTCTGAAATTGTGTATATTAAAACAAATTATGATTTTCTTTCGAAATTTTGATATCCCAAATAGATAACGGGACGCACATAAACTTGAAGGAAAATAAATGACCGTTTTATAGAAAAATGTGGTATTTTTTTCCTTATAAGTATATTTTTCTCGGTTATTTGAAAATATATTTTGAAAAGAAGGACAGATTCGTGATCCTGAGAAAATTTCGGAAAAGAATGATAACAATATGAGCTCATTTCGTCAAGTTTAAATTTTTGAGAAAAATGGTGGAGGCGCCGGGATAAAAATTTATTTTAAAATTATTTATTACAAAAATCCGTAAGAACTCCTTTCGGAAATTGTGTATATTAAAAGAAATTATGATTTTCTTTCGAAATTTTGATATCTCAAATAGATAACGTGACAAACATAGACTTGAAGGAAAATAAATGACCGTTTTTGAGAAAAATGTGGTATTTTTTCCCTTATAAACATATTTTTCTCGGTTATTTGAAAAGATATTGCGAAAAGAAGGACAAATTCGTGATCCTGAGAAAATTTCGGAAAAGAATGATAACAATATGAGCTCATTTAGTCAAGTTTAAATTTTTGACAAAAATGGTGGAGGCGCCGGGATGAAAATTTATTTTAAGTTTATTTATTACAAAAATCTGTAGGAACTCCTTCCGGAAATTGTGTATATTAAAATAAATTATGATTTTCTTTCGATATTTTGATATCAGAAATAGATAACGGGACGAACATAGACTTGAAGGAAAATAAATGACCGGTTTTCAGAAAAATGTGGTATTTTTTTTCTTATGAACATATTTTTCTCGGTTATTTGAAAAGATATTGCGAAAAGAAGGACATATTCGTTTTCCAGAGAAAATTTCGGAAGGGAATGAAAGCAATATGAGCTCATTTCGTCAAG